ATCCTCCCACACCAGACTTATCAGCAGCAGCAAGAGCATCTCCTGGGCAGCTGACCCCAAAAGTGCTGAGTGTGTGCTGGCAGTAAAACACCCCACACTTCTCATTGATAAGGATGCTTTCTGTTTGTGTCTCCCCTGAAACATTCTCAGAGGGCTTTCCCTTCTACTACATCATTAGCTATCCCAGAAGCCCTCAGGGTGGGAGGCACAGGATCATTCCTGTTGTACATGGGGACGAAGCACGTCCAAGGATTTGCTTGGAGCCTCATAGCAAACCAGAAATGGGGCTGGGCTGAGAATCCAGGCTCTGCCACATCCTGTGCATAGGTACAGCAGCACCTGAGGCAGGAGGTGGGTGGGAGTGGGATGAGCAGACTTCTCTCCAGCCCTAAAATGTCCATGGTTTGGCTGTTTGAGCCCCCAGATTTGTTGGGGGTCCTTGTGAAGCAACTCCATGCAAGTGTTGAGGGGAACACAGGGTGCTGTCAGATTGTCAGTAAGAGGGATTCCTTGGGCTCAGTTTGTCAGCAGCTCCAAGAGTGAGGCCCCAACTCTGTCTTCTCTTTTTAGGGGTAACCAAATAGCATCAGAGAGGAGCATGGCGCCAGCACCAAGGTGGGAGCCATGCTCTCTCCACTCTGGCTTCCGTCAAGAGCTGTCTTGGAGGGAGAAAGGAGCTCCTGAGTTGTTCAGGTGGATGCCCACCACGCTAAAGAGAATTCCAGGCCACTAGCCTCTAGCCACACAGGGTTCCCTCCCAACACCCCCGTCTGTGGGACTTGATCTGAAAAGCTATACTTTGAGTTGGGAATCTTGCCCAGGGCTGGCTGGAGAGGTGCCCGTTGTGCCACTCAGGGAAGGCCTTATAGTTCCCCATTCTGGGTGGGCTTCAGGCCGGGGCTACAGGCTCCGGCCCAGCTCCCCTGTGGGTCAGTCACCAGCACTGCTGGCTCTGAGTCCTGATTTCTATCTCTGGCTTTCCTAGTTGCACCTGGTTGATTCCAGGCAGCTTATCTCACAGTTAGCATGGCATGTAATCTAGACAGACCTAGGTTTGAATCCTGCCACGACAGCTTACTAGTTCAATGTGCCCTTGGGCAGTCACTGCACGAGTCATTCCATGGCTGCCATTTCTCCTCTGTAAAGCAGGGAAGATAGCGTCCACCCTCCAGGGCCGTGCTTAGGAGGGAAGCCTGTGAAGAGCACCTGTCACAACAGGCAATGCAGATGTGGGAGTCATTACTGTACCACTCTCCTCTTCTAGCATGACACAGTGGCTGTTAACAGACCTTCCCTTCAGGGAGAGCCCAATGGCTCCTCTGGGCCACCAGAGTGGGTTCTCTAAAAGGGTGGAGGAGAACCAGGAGCCATTTCCCAGAGCTGCAAACCTCCCAGGGAGTGCTCGGCTCCATCTCCCCCAACCCCCAGCTGCTGCCCACCAGCCATAACTCTGGGATACGGTGCCCAGGGGAGCCATGAAAACTGAAGCTTTTACCTCCATCTCCTGCACTCCAGGCCCCCAAGCCCCACCCTAGGACTTGCTGTGAGATGGGGTATGAACCAGGCCTCCACCCACTGCCTGGAGGAAGTACTTTTGAGTCTGCAGAAGGGACTGCCATGTTTCTGGCTCGGGCTCTGGCTCTGGTGTCCTTCTCTATGCTTTTGGTGCCAGGCACAGCCATCCTGATGTCTTATGCTGAGACACTGTAGAGTGGACATGGTGGCATCTCCTCCAAGGCTCAGCTCCTCCAAGTCCACATCCAGTGGGTACCAAGTCCTGTCAGTCAGGTCTCCTCAGTGTCTCTACCACCTGCTGCCTTCATCCTGCCTGCCCGTTTGCAGCCTTGTTCCCTCTCCTCTGGACAAAAGCCCCTCCCTCTGGCTGCTCCTCTGTACCTACCAGAAGACTGCAGGAACCCTTCCATAGTGCTTTATCTCTAGGGAGGACATCTGGCTCAGCTTGTCATGTAAGGCCTCTGTGAGCAGCCTCGCCTGTCCTTCTCCAGGTTGCCCTCATGTGGTCCCTTCCCCTTCCTACCACGCCACCCCCTTCCTGACACCAAACTTCGCTCTTTTCCCAACCCTATCCCCTCGCCTAGTTCACTGCTGTTCCTGTGCTTGCACTGTTGTCCCATCGCCCTCCTTCTGACATTCCTTTTTTTTTTTTTTTTTTTTTTTTTAATGGTTTAACGACTGACTTCAAGTCAGGGAGACAATCCAAAAATCCGTGCTCACGTTCTCCGGAAATGGGCGAGTTTTGTAGCTCAGTGTCGAAACTACCCCTAAAAATTGCTGTCCTCTCGCACAACAAACCGAAGAGGTGATCTGGTATACTTACTCTTTTACAATCGCCTTTAGATGCTTCCTTCACTGTGAGGCCTTCAGACGTCCCCAGGCAGGTAAGTAGCTTCCTCCATCAGTGTGCACCATCTTAGGCTGTGACTGTTGTGGGCTCTGGACTTGCGGACCACCTATTATCTCTGTCCCTAGCCTCTGTGTATTTGTGAGGCACTTCCAACACAACATGAAGGCAGTAACAAGTGCCCAGCAGGGTCTCACCTCACAGCAATTTGTAAATACCCCAAGAAATCTGCTTTTAGGCTGGGCACGGTGGCTCACGCCTGTAATCCTAGCACTTTGGGAGGCTGAGGTGGGTGGATCACCTGAGGTCAGGAGTTCAAGACCAGCCTGGCTATCATGGTGAAACCCCATCTTTATTTAAAAAAAAAAGAAATCTGCTTTTAAACATGGAGTTCCAGCCAGGCCCAGTGGCTCATGCCTGTAATCTCAACACTTTGGGAGGTGGGCAAATCACTTGAGACCAGGAGTGCCAGACCAGCCTAGGCAACTTGGCGAGACCCCATCTCTACAAAAGACAAAAAAATTTAGTTGGGGATAGTGACGTGTGCCGGTAGTCTCAGCTACTTAGGAGGCTGAGGTGGGAAATCATTTGAGCCTGGGAGGTCAAGGATGCATGAGCCATGATTGCGCCACTGCTCTGTAGCCTGGGCGACAGCAAGACCCTGTCTCAAAAAAAAAAAAAAAATAGGCCGGGCACAGTGGCGCATGCCTGTAATCCCAGCACTTTGGGAGGCTAAGGTGGGTGGATCACCTGAGGTCAGAAGTTAAAGACCAACCTGGACAACATGGTGAAACCCCATCTCTATTAAAAATACAAAATTTAGCCAGGTGTGGTGGTGCATGCCTGTAGTCCCAGCTACTCCAGAGGCTGAGGCAGGAGAATTGCTTGAGCCAGGGAGGCGGAGGTTGCAGTGAGCTGAGATCATACCACTGCACTTCAGTCTGGGCAACAGCGAGTCTGTGTCTCAAAAAAAAAAAAAAAGTGGCTATAAAACAAAACAGAAAAAGAGAACAAGTGGAGCTCTGTAGAGACCCATTTCCTAGAGGAGAAACTGAAGAGAGCAGCTGCCACTTGCCTAGCATCTTCCCCATGGCATCCCTCCCATACTGTGGCTCTTCCTGGAGGTGGAGTCCCCAGTAGATGTGAGTGCTGGCAGCCAGTCTTGCAGCTCCTGCTGGCACGGGGCCAGGCTCAAGTGCCCATGAGGTGACAGCACTAGCCGAAGAGCTGGGACGATAGAGCTCTGCAGAAGGCCCTTCACAACTCAGCAAGGTGCCCATGGAGGAGGAGGGCGGCCATTTCTAGTCCAGTGGGTGGAGATCACCAGTTACTGAGCCCACTGGCTTCTGCCCTACGACTGCAAACCATGTAATGCCCTCCCACCCATCGAGTGGCAAAAGCCAAGTGACCACCTTGCTTCCCAAAGCTCTCAACCCTGGGAACCCCAGTGCCTAGCACAGTGGCAGCAGATTTGGGCCCCAGTTTTGGGGGCCCAGATTTTGGGCCTGTCATTAAGTGTTCAACCTCCGAAAGTTTCTTCAACCTCTCTGAGCCTCAGATTCTTCAACTGTAAAATGGGGTTAGTGATATATGCCTCACGGGGTCGCTGGAAGGATTAAAGGAGCCCATGTGGGTAGGGGCCCTGGCCAAGTGCCCAGTGATGGACACTATGACAGTGATGTTTGTGATGCCTCAGGACAGCTATTCTTGCCCTTCGCAAAAGCTTTCCCTTGGTAGGTCTTCTAATTAGACCAAGAGGGGCTCAGTTGGATGCTGCCACCTTTAACACCTTTTTTGACAACTGCTGGTCTCCCCGTGAATCAGGAGGGTGCTCTTTGCCTGCATGTGGTAACTTCCTTCCTTTTCTTCCAATTCAGCCGTCTTTCCCAAGTGGCTCCATGCCCAGGGCTGTGGCCTGGTGCAGAGTTGTGGGGTTCTAATGAAGCTCAGGCCTGCTTCTGCTCATTGCTCTTGAGGACCAGCCTGGGAGGCAGGTGGGGAAGCAGATGCTGACCAAGCCAGGTGCACTGTCAGGTGAGTCCAGGAAGACACAGAAGCTCCAAAGACACCCAGCCCAGCAGTGCGAGCAGGCAGGACACACTCACAGTGAGAATAACCCAGACTAAGGTAGAGGGGAGAAAGAACAGCTGGACAGAGGTGAGGGAGGGCAGCCAGAGGGGTAAGCAAGCCAGCTCACGAAGGGGCTGTGAGCGGCACTCATTCTCTTGAGGCACTGGGAGCCCTTTACAAAATTGTCTTCCTTACCATCCCCCCAACTATATAAAAGAAAACATGGTCATACATACAAAACCCCTTGGAGGCTTTTAAGCAGGGGCACTGAGGCTTAGCTGCCTGGGAAGATGCACTGGAGAGGGCAAAACCAGAGGCTGCGCCGAGAGGAGGCTGCTGCAGTGCAGTCCAGCAAGGGGCCTGGGCCTCACCAAGCCCGTGATGGGGGCCAGGCACTAGCAATTTGGAGGGTGGAATGGCCAGGATTCATGACTGCTCACAGGGGATGAGGAGGGAGCCAGTAATACCACACACATCCGTAACTGGGTGGATGGTGGTGCCCTGGCTGGGAACCACTCTGGACACTTTGCCTGGGCTAGTAACCAAAGGAAAACCTCCACCAACAGAGTCTCAGTGCAGCTGGTTTTTATTATTAAAGCCAAGGTTGGAAAATGGTTGCCCCCTGCCTCCCAGAACCCTCCCACCCACCTCTAGGTTGATCCCTTTATATCCTGTGAAGGTGAAAACTAGATTTGTCTTGAAGAGACTCAGAAACGCTCATGCTGGAATGAGAATGAGGACAAATGAAGTAGGCTCAGATGGTGGTCTCCATGTGATTGTGTGGGACTCCACCCAGGATTCCTGGGAGAGACGGCTTAGGGTGGGGCTGGACAGCCCCTGCTCACAGTGCTGTTCCCGAGGGTCCGGGGTGGGTGTCAGGAACGAAGGCAACAGAAGAGGCTGAGCTGGCCCCCCGCACTCTACCCTGCTGAAGCTGGGCCACAGGCTGGTTTTTGTAAAAATGGTTAAAAAGAAAACCCAGCCACGAGCACCACCCTCCCCTGAGCAGGGCGAGAAGAGGCGCCAGCTCTGGGCTTTGAGGTCTGAAGCTTGTGGCCTCCTGGCCTGGCATCGCCTCCCTGGAGGCAGGCAGCACCCTGAGGGAGGCCAGGCGGGCTCCTGGGCCCCGCCTGTGGCCCTTGGCAGCCTCCAGGGTCCCAGGAGAGCTTCGAGATGGCTGTCTCCCCTCCTCCCACCCAGCCCACTGCAGGATCTAGGCCTCAGGGACCCTGTGCAACTTTTGCTCTTTGGATTCCAAAGATCTGTACTTGTCTTCCAGCACAGGCGCGGTGGGCTGGAAGTGGATGACGGGCCTGATCTGAAAGACGGTGAAGCCCTCCTGGTTCTTCTGGTTGAACAGACTTACCCTGTGCTCCAGCTCGGGGCTGGTTTGGGCCGAGCCCGCTGAGCTGGGCCGGGCGAGGGGGGCTGGGTCCAAGGCCCTCTGGGATGGGCAGGGGTCCTCTGACAGGGAGGACAGCAGGTCCTGGACTGTGGCCTCCTCCACCTGCTGCTGGGGTGGCAGGGGAACAGGGCCGGGCTCAGAAGATGGCTCCTCTCGGGCGGTGCTGCAGTCCATGGAGGAGCCCAGCGTCTGGCTGCTGTCACTCTGAGCCCGGGTGACTGAGCTGCGGGAGGCAATCTCCGAGGTGGTACTGGCACCAGTGCCATTACTGCCGAGCTTGAGGGGCATGTCCAGAGAGAAGAGGTCTGAGGAGATGTTGGGCTGGTGGATGTCTATTGCAGCCGTGGTGACCACGCACACCGCTGGCTCTGGGACACCGCTGTCTGCAAGGAAGGAGAGGATCTTGGTCACACTTTAACCTCTGGCACACCTGGGGGCCCTGAAGAGGGCAGGTCTGAGCCGGGCGGTGGGTGGTGAGTGTGGACAGGCTGTAGGAGACCCTGCCTTTGTGGAGGGAGGCCTTGGTAGAATTCCCTTCTCCAACATCACCACCCTGCTTTGAGGGGGATTATGCCTCCCCATCTCCTTAAACTCAAGTGTGGGCATGTGACACACTTTGGCCAGTCACCCATGACAAGTGACCTTTGGCACTTCTTGGCAGAAGCTTTATGAGTTGGTGCTTTGCCCTGGCAGCCAACAATGTTCTAGAATAGATGGTGACTGTTCTGCCAACTGGGTGCTGGAGTGACGGTGATGACCTGGGAGCAGAGCCCCCAGCCAACCTGCAGTGGGGCTTTTGTGGCTTTGTTTAAACCACTGACATGCTGGGCTATTTGCCACAGCCGCCTAACCTAGCCCATCCTAACTCAGGAAGCGTGGTGTGCCGGGGCAGGGAACTTGGGTTCCAGTCTGAGGAAGGACTCAAGTTTCAGATGGGCTAGGCGGTAGGATAATCAGAGCCTGCTTAGCGTGCATCGTAGGGTCAGAGAGAGGACATGCAGAGCTCTTTGCTTTAGGCGAGATGTACCCGGGGCTGACCTACAGAGGATGCAGGGTGGGGAGATTCCTCCGCAAAGTTGAGGGCTGAGAGAGAGGTCTAGGCTGGAGACGGTGGTCTTTGAAACCAGCATATTGGATGAGACTTTGAGGGAGGAGAGAAGAGGGGGATGAGGCCTTAGGAGGCCTAAATAGTGGAAAACAAAAAATTCAAATGCATTATTCACATGGCCCAACATAATAAGGTTTTGGGGGCTGTGAAATTCAAACTCAAGAACCGCACGTGGAACCCTGAAATGAAAGGGGCTGTGGAGAATTAAGACACCAAGTGCCTCAGCAATATTTTAAGATTCAATCTTTCCCATAAATAAAAACCACTGGGGTTTCTTGAGGTTTTTCTTCAAATGCAAGAATGAAACATCTAGCAGGGATGCACCTGAGGCCGCAGCTCCTCATGCCCCGGAGTGCTGTGGCATCTCACCCCCCACTGTGCCCACCCTCACAGCTGTGCAGGGTCACGTGGAGTTCTGGATTCCACCCCCTTCCCATTTCAGGGTTCCACATGCAGTTCTTATGGGTGATCACAGAACACCCCCATCCCGGCACCTGCAGGCTAGCCCCTGGGTACCCCCAGCTCCAGCGCTGGAGTTTTCTGGAAGCTGAAGCTCCAGTATTTCAATCTTGAGCACTGCCTGCAGTTATGGTTCACAGGCACCAGGAGATGGCACCTGGCTTCCAGGCATGAGTTGTCTCTGCCCTTGGGTTTAGGGTTTGCTGGGGTCACATGTAGCATGGGGTTCTGGCACACGCAAAACAGCCCCCTACCCATACTTACCACTGCTGGGCCCATTGTAATACTGACTGATGTAGCTGTTCATGTCATCTTTCACTGTAGCTTCTATGGAATTGGGGACAGAGAAGGATGAGTGGTCACTTGTCAGTCCGAGAGGCAGAGACTGCATCAAGTTCTTTCTTCACCCCTTATACTCCCATCCCCACCCCCATGAGAGGAGGCAACCATCTCACAGAAGCCCTCGGTGTGTGTGACGGGAGCCACCTCCTATTTTTCCATGGGGACCCCCTGTCTCACCTGCCCCAGGGGCTGGACTGCACTGGGTGCTGGAGGACCCAGGTTTTAATGAAGCATCTGCCTTTGTACTAACCTGGACAGAGCCCTTCCCCTCTGTCCCCACTTTCCCCATCTCTGAGATGAAGGATGTGGAAATAATTCCTCAGGGCTTTTCCTTGTCTGGATAGCCTGAGCCTTCATTGCCTGAGCTTCTCAAGGGCACTGGAAACGCTGCCCTCAGAGAAACCTTGAAATTCCATTTGTAGAAATACACAGCCACAGGGCTGATGCGCATCCAGACAGCCCCTGTGGCTGCATTCATCTGAGGGTTCCAGCCTTCCATGTAGCACAGGAATGGAGCTGGGGAGGTGGGGTGCTGGGGATCCCCACCACCTGCACTGTTCCTGCACATAGTAGGTGGTCAGTACATAGTTACTGAGCAAATAATGGAAAGAGAAGTGAAGAGCTAGCCATGTCAAGGTGGGTAGGAACAAAGTCTTAGAGAAATACTGACCAGCCTGGGCAACATAGGGAGACCCTGTCTCCAAAAAAGTAAATAGGAATCTTGCTTCACCTCTTGAGAGGATCGGGGAGGGAGAGAGGAAAGCTGAGGCTTTCACAGTGGCCTGAGAGTGGGAGGAAAGCCAGGTGCTGGGAGACCCCAAAAGCCATCTTAAGAGCTGGGCCTTCTTCCAAGGACAGAGAGGCAGTGAGGGGCCACAGGAAGGAGTGAACTTGGTCAGATGTGATTGGGAGAGGCCATTCCCAAAGCTGTGGCAGGAAGAGCAGAGACTGCAATGCCTGGGAGGGGTGGAAGGCCTGAGGGGCTGAGAGAGTGAGTGGCAAAGTGTCTGACTGTGCTCTGGGGTTGCTTCCTCAGCCCACTGGGTCCTGGGGTCATGGAAGGGTAGCAGAATCGGACCTGCTTTCAAACCTCAACTTTACCACATATTAGCTAAGTGGCCCTCGCTTAGCCTTTGTTTCCTAGTCTGTAAAATGGGTAGAATGATGCCTATTCTCCAGAGTTGCTATGGAGATTAAATGAGCTAGCATCAGATTCCCAGGGTGGGGTCAGGCACCAGAAAGCCCTCAGCACAGGAGGGCTGAGGATTTCCTCCCTCTCCCAGGGAAGTGTGGAGGTGCTCCAGGGCTGCCCCTACAGCCAGAGTCTGCACCCCTAGGAGCTTCTCTGAGGAAAGGGGTCAGCAGACCCACTGCGTTCTGAGGGCCCTTCCCAGGCTCACCTGTGAGCTGCAGAAGCCAGTCTGCCCTTCCCCTGGGAGGCTGGAGGCAACACAGAGGGGCCTGGCTCTTAAAAGCTTTTTTGGCCTCTTTTGATCTTTAAATGCCTGCGGTCAGAAGTGTGTTTTGCACTAATGCTGGGGCTGAGGGAGGGCCCGGGGCTGGCTCCAGAACCTGCTCATCAGCCAGCTACACTCTCCTCTGCAGCCGGGCATCCATACGCTGTGTGTACTGCCAATGCTGTCTAGCCTGGCTGCTGCCCTGGGAAGCCAGGGGTGGCTGGTCCCTGCAAGCTGGAGGCTCAGGTCCCCCCAGGTCCTGCGGGCCAGGCTGGGGGATCTGGTCACTCATCTTGGTTTTATCCTGAGACCACACCTGCAGGGACTCCAGAGGGCCCTGTGATGTGAGCGGGACAATGAGCTCAGCCAAAGTATCCACAGACCAGCAAAACTTTAACCCAAGAGCCACTTGCAGGAGGAGGCCGGGGTGAATGAGAAAATCGCAGATGCTGAGTTCTTTTCCTAGTGCTGCCACTGGCCTGCCATGGGGGCTTGAGCAGGTCCCATCCCCTCTCTGGGCCTCAGTTTCTTCATGTACCCTGAAGGCACTGGTAAGGCTCTTCCAGATTTTGAGGAGGCCAGGCAGATGGTTCTGAAGTTCTAAGAGGTGACAGAGTCACAGCAGAATGGGAAGAGGCCCGAGGCATCTTGGCCAGTCCCCAGTGCAGGAGTCCCCCTGAAGCTAGCCTGAGAGGGCTCTCTCCACCATAGCCCCCACACTTCTAGGAAAGGTGCACCTGCCTCTTTGTGGAGCAGCTCTGGTCATCAGCTACTGGGCAACTTCTCACTCAACTATCCTCAGTAGTCATAGTGAGCCCACTCTCTGCCAGGTTTTGAGCCCAGGAGTCCCTGCTTACTGGGAGCACAGTCAGGGCCTCCCCAGGACATCCACTCCTAGACAAACAGCCCATTAGCATTTAATAAGTGCCTACTATGTGTGAGGCTTGCACATACTGGTCCTGCCTTCCAAATAGGTACCAAGGACAAGACCATTTCTACTCACGGTCTATATGACAGCCCTTCCACCACCTAAAAAGCCCCTCATGTCCCTCCTGGGAAGTCTCTTCTTAGCCCCTGTGCAGGCCGGGCGCGGTGGCTCATGCCTGTAATCCCAGCACTTTGGGAGGCCGAGGCAGGTGGATCACGAGGTCAAGAGATCGAGACCATCCTGGTCAACATGGTGAAACTCCGTCTCTACTAAATATACCAAAAAAATTAGCTGGGCATGGTGGCACGTGCCTATAATCCCAGCTACTCAGGAGGCTGAGGCAGGAGAACTGCCTGAACCCAGGAGGCGGAGGTTGTGGTGAGCCAAGATCGCGCCATTGCACTCCAGCCTGGGTAACAAGAGCGAAACTGTGTCTCAAAAAAAAAAAAAAAAGAAAGCCCCTGTGCATTCTCTACCCCTCCCTGGTTTCCCAGCCTTTCCAAGGCTTCAATTCACTATGGAATCCAGCTGTGACCAGAATGGGGGGAGGAGGAAGAGAAGGGAGGGAGGGAGGGAAGGAGTGGGGAGGGGAGAGGGACTAGTGTTTACTCTGAAAGCTCCAGACTGAGGGGTTGACACTCCACACAGTGATCTCCCTGTCCCTGTGATGCAAGGCCGTGACTATTGAATAGACTGTGCACACGGCCCAAGATCTCATGTGATCACACTGCCCTAATGTACCCTCACATCCTCCAAGCATGTTCAGAAACCCTCCTCTGCCGACTCAGGAGCTTGTAGCCAGCATGGACACCCAGGTCGTCTCTGCAGGAGCTGAGGCCAGGTCAGGCCTTCCCCACCCTGTACTCATGTAACCCCCAAGGAGGGCTCGTCGCCTTGGGCAAACGTCAGCTTGCTGGGCTTAGGCCATAGGGGCAGCCTGCTGGAGGCATCCTGAGTCCTTACTCAGTCTACCAAGGTGTTAAATCATCCTCCTCTCTGTGTTGCCTACACAATTGAGGATGCTCACATCTTCATGCAAGCTGTTGAGAAAAATAACCAAAGCCAGGTGACCTTCGGCCCAGACCTCCCTCCTGAGCGTCCAAGGTCTGGCCAACTGTCCCTGGACAACTCCTGGCTGGCGTCCAGCTACTTCTGACTCAACATGTCCAAAATAGAACTCGGTTTCTCCGTCCTCCTCCATGTCCTCCATCTTGGTGACCGGTTCCTGGCACGTTTTAGTACCTGTTACCAACAACTCGACTTCCACCAAGTCTGTGACCAGTTGAGGGACCCCTGGCCCTGTGACCAGTCTTAGATCAGACTTCATGGTTTCCCCTTTGGATTCCTACCCTGCCTGTGGGTTTAATGAATCAGATTACTCATTCTTGGGACGTGCCTGACACAGCCTAGGTCCCTAGGTGGCCATGAGGGGTCTTTTTAGTCTGTACTTGCTCCTCCTGTCCCTACTCCCTCTGCTCCAGACCTGGCCCCACACAGGGCCTCGGAGTGAGCTTTAAGGCATGAGTCTGAGGGCCAGGCTGGCCTGGGCTTCGCTAAGTGCTGACGTCAGGCCTGCCGGCTCTCTGCGCCACACAGGCTGGTGGATCCTCTGCTTCCAGAACTGACCACTTGGGCTGGGGTTCTGTCTCCACCCACAGAGGTGGACTAAGGGCCCTGGAGAGCAGAAGCCACATTTTACTGTCTCCCTGGTGCTCCGCATGGAGTTTGGCATATGCCAAGTGTCATTAGGGTGGACTGGACAGAAGACGATGGTTGGGTCAGAGGCCTGCGGGGACTGACTTCCCAGCCTCCACCCCGACTCCAGGGAGCCACGGAACCACTGCACGCTCAGCAGGCAGTCCCACTGCCCGCCCTGGTTCCTCCTACAGAGAGACTGGGGGGTCTGGGAATGGAGGGGTAGCAGGGGAAACAGACAGAGATGTTAATGGCTGGGAATGGGCCACACTGTTGGCCTCACATGGGGCTGCCCACCATCCATCTAAGAATAAGCCCCTGCCCCTGGGGGTTTGCTTTGATTCAGCCCTGGGGAGCCCTAGAGACATTCTGGAAGAACCCCACAGGGGACTGTGGTGCAGTCTGTGGAGGGGCAGGAAAGAATGGGCACAAACACAGGCTTCAGAACAAAACAGTCCCAGGTCCAACCCAACTCTGCAGGGCTCGTGCTGTGTGGTCTTGGGCAGATCCCTTAGCCACTCTGAGCTTCAGCTTCCTCATCCATAAAATGGGGATAGCAACTGCCGACTCTGCTGGTGAACTGGAAAGAGTCACTGAGCTCATGAATGTTTAGCCCAGGGCCATCATTTGCCTCCCTGAAACCCTGGCCCCAAAGTCTCAGTGCTTTCTGTGGCAGCTGCTCTCTGCTGCCCGGCGCCTTTCTTCCCAGGGTGTGAGCACTTTGCAAACCCAACCTGACTAATCCTCCCAAAGCCCGTCAAGTGCAGCGGTGGCAAGGCTCATCATGTGGGTTTTACCTCTTGGGTGGAGCCCTGGATCTGCCCAGCGAGGAGGCGGAGGTGGAGAGAAAGGGTGGTGAGTCAGCCAGGCCAGGTCTCCTGGAGGTGGCAGGGACCGGCCAGGCT